AAGCTAGGATGGCCAGATTTCATCTCTCATATTTTGGACATATTGTCAGGAGGGACCAGTGGAGAAAGATGTCATGTTTGGTAAGGTGGAGGGTTGGAGAAAAAGAGGAAGACCCCCCAGTGAGATACTGGCACGGTGGCAGCATCATTGGGCTCAAAAGTAGTAATGGTTGTGAAGTTGACCCAGGATCGGGCATTGTTTTCTTCTGTTGTGCATAGGGTCTCTATGAGTCAGTAGTGACTCCATGGCACATAACAACAACAACATAAACCTATGTACTGTTTGGCTGAGAATTGAACTACGAGAGTGAGACCTTAACTGTGGTTGAGGGTCATAGTCTCAGGTTCCTCCAGTTTCTTTCCAATAAGTAAACCTAGTCTTTTTTGTTTTGTTCACATTTTCTCCCACTCTATTTGGATTTGGGATCCATGTTTAGTAAGGTGGAAGGTCAGAGAAAAAGAGGAAGACCCCAGCAAGATGGATTGGTAAAGTGGAAGCATCAATGGGCTCAAGTGTGGCAACAATTATGAGGTTGGCCCAGGATCAGGCGTGTTTCGTTCTGTTGTATAAAGGGTTGCAATAAGTCTGTACTGACTTGATGGCACCTAACAACAACACGTGTGATCCCTTTCAGTGTGGTTCAGGTTTTGGTTTTTTAACTTATGCTTAGAACACTGTGGGTGGAATGTTGACTCTACTTTTTTTATTAAAGCATTTTAGGTGGTTCAGGCTGTAGATGCTGATTATTCTTTGTCTTTTTACAAGAACCTGGGAGTTGTTTTTTCACGTTAGCAAATTTGTTATTTGAAAATAAACCACATTTGTAGGCATAGAGACTTCCCTTTACTAACCTAATACTTGACTTTAGGTATGTATGGACCGAGATACGGCTAATTCTTTTGAATATTGAGAGTAGTAGTCATTAGGACTATGGTATGTGTTGTCTTCTGTGCTTTGATTTGAAAAGTTTTAGCAATTTAAAAATTTAAGCATTGCCTTTTTGAAACACTTGATGTCAGTGGTATTAATAGATATGAAAAATGATAACAAGACCTGTCAAAATTACCCCCAAAGCACTAGTACTTTGTTGTTAAGTGTCATCAAGTCAGTTTTAACTCAGTGACCCTCTGTATATAGGGTTTCCAAGGAGCAACTGGTGGGTTTGAACCACTGACCTTGCAGTTAGTTTAATACTACACAATGAGAATATAACTATAAAGAAGTAGCTTTTTTATTTATTTTGTTTTACTCAGGATTGGGTTTATTATCTTTAGGTACTGACTTAGGCCTTGTCTCTTTTTTAAACATCAAAACAATGATTTTTTTCCCATTTTCAGAAACCTCTTCCCTTACAGTAAACTGTACACAGTGTCTGCTAGTATATCTCTAATTGCTTTAGCAATTAGACAAAAGAGTGAGGGCTTCAATAACCTTTTCTCTTACAGTAAATAGTGTACATAATGTCTCCTAGTTATTTATTTATAATTGTGTTAGAAATTAGACAAAAGAGTGAGAGCTGTTAATAGTGTGTTTTTCATTAGCTGGTAAACAGCATTGCTTTGAAATCGAGCAAATTTAAAATAAAATAGTTGGGTTGATTATACAATTTTTGTTTTATAGGTTTTAAGTCTGATATTTTCTTGAAATAAAGGTTACTTTGTATACACTTATAGCATTTTACCCTTGCTTCAAGCACTGAGAACTTTTACTGTTGAAACCCTTTCTATGTAGTATTTTTATTTTCTGATTGATTGACATATAGAAAAGAATTCAATTACCTCTCCAAAGGAAGAAGGTTGGCTGATCCAGCCTGTTGTGTTGTTTCAGTTTCATGTTTATTTTTTTTTGCATGAATAGCACCTGCCTATTTGGAGTCCTGGTGTGGCGCTGTGGGGTTAATGTGCCAGACTGCAAAGCTGTTTGAACTGCAAGGTCCGCGGTTCAAGCTCAACAGCTGCTCCTCAGAAACTCTATACAGGGTTGCTATGGGTCAGAATTGACTCAGTGGCACTTAACAACAACAACAATTTGCAAAAGGTAAAACTGACCATATAAACTCATCTGGGGAAAGATAATAAACTGAAGAAAATAACAAGTCTACTAGGAAATAATTAAAGACAGATGACAAATTATCGTTTATTCAGAAGATGAGCTCACTGAGACTTTAAGAAGTGTGTGTATGGCTTTAGACTTTTCTTCTTGTTATTACGTGCCATCAAGTCATTCCCAACTCATAGCAACCCTGTATAGAGTTTCCAAGGAGTGACTGGTAAATTTGAACTGCCAACTTTGGGGTTCAAACCAACCCTGTGGTTAAGTGAATACCTTGAATTTACTTATGTCGGACTTAGGCCCGTTTCTGTTTTAATTAATTAGTTTATTCTTGAGTGAAGAGGTAGGAAAAAATAACAAGAATACGCTCTTTATTTTCTTTGAACTCTGAGGATGGTGATGCGAGAGCAAGTGCAGCTGATGAGCGAGCATTGTGGAAGCTAGCAGTGTGATATGTTCATGTTTAAACGTGTGAACCACTCTAAACAACAGAGATCCAAAAACTGACCATGAAAGGTTTATCCTCTCAAATATGAGTTGTGTTTAAAAGTCAAATCCCCTAAAATTTGTTGCAAAGATTACTTTGACATCTTAATAAGACAAGGTAAATTGTATAAATTATTATAGTAGGTATTACAGCCTCAGTGAATATTTTTGGGGTAATCTTAAAGCAGGAAAAGTAATAACTACCATAGTAAGAAGCTTCCCCTAGGCTTTAAAACCCAGGGGTCTAGGCAAATGAGGGTCTACATTTATATAGCTTGTTAAGTGCCATTGAGTGGGTTCCGACTCATAGCGCTAAGAATATCACAATTCAGAGATTTCAAGGATTCCTCAAGTGGTTGATGAGTAGTCTTGTCGTCTGGTGTTGGGGTTCATGCTGGAGACTAGAACAGTTTGACTTTTGATCATTATGATAACTTCTAGGAGATGCTTTGTTGTTGTTGCTGTTATTAGGTGCCATTGAGTCGGTACGAACTCATAGTGTCCCTATGCACAACAGAACAAAACACTGCCTGATCCTGGGCCAACCTCACAATTGTTGCCACACTTGAGCCCATTGATAATGCCACTCTGTCAGTTTATCTCACTCGGGGTTTTCTTCTTTTTCTCTGATCCTCCACCTTAACAAACATGATATCCTTCTCCAGCGACTGGTCCCTCCTGACAATATGTCCAAAGAATGAGAGACGAAGTTTGGCCATCCTGGCCTCCAACAAGCACTCTGGCTGCACTTCTTCTAACACAAATCTGTTGGTTCTTATGGCAGCCCATGGCACTTCCAATATTCTCCGAACTGTAACTCAGAAAGTACATGTTTTATGTTAAAAATTAGTGTGCCTGAAAGGCTAAAGAGGTGGATATTCTCAATTATATATTCACCTTAGCAGGGCTTGAGTTAAGTCATATTCTCTCTCCTTTTTTTGCAGCTGCTTTCTTTAGTTGTTACGTAGACAATATCACCAGAAGCTCCTTCAAGCCTGAGATGGACAACATTGTACTTCCATAAATGTTTTCTTTAATTAGATTGTTTTCCTCCTTAGATCAGGGACTTGATTACTTAGCACATTCATAGTACAGTCTATAAATGCTGTCTCTGCAGTCAGGACACTGGGTTACCACCTCCTTCCATCCCACTCAGGGCTCTGAGTGGTCTCTGATTGCTCAAGTTTCCTATGTAGCATTTTGCCCAGGCTAATATTTCAAAGTGCCATTTAAAAGAACTGGTTAGGGCGCCTTCCTCCATTGTACCATACTGTACCACACTGTACTATTCTCTCAGTATCCCTGGTAACACCAGGATATATGTTCCCTTGTGGAGGGTACTGTTATTAGAATGAGGGCCTCAAAGGGATTTCTGGATGCTGGTAATATTCCGGTTTTTCATCTGGGTGCTGGGTACATTTGCATATTTGCAAACAGTCATTGAGCTAGACCGTTATTGACTTGCACAGTTTCCTGCATGCATGTTTTACAATATTACACATTTTTAAAAGAATATAAAAATTTCAAATAAATAGGTCAGTTTTGTATTAGAGGTTATGTCTGTTAAGTGTCGTCAAGTCAGCCCTGTATAGAAAGGTTATGGCTAAGTTTCTATAAATAGGAAGTGAATAAACAGGGACTGGTTAAATTGTACTATGTTTTACATACCCTGGGGAATACAGTGTAGCTATTTTTGAGAATGAATAATAATATATATAGTACATGGAATTCTTTTAAATGAATACAGCAGGTTACAGAACATATGTCCTATTTATGTAAAAAAAAAAAAAAAAAAAACAGGATGTATATACCTGTACATACATAGAAAATGTCTGGAAAGACACAATGCTAACAGTGATTAGCCTTGGGAATTGGTTTATGGGTTATATAGCACTGGGGGGGGTGGGGAACAGAACTTTTGCATTATATAATTTTGTACAAGTATAGTACTTTTTTTTACAGTGAGCATGGATTACTCTTAAAGAAAAACTAATTTAAAAGTTAATTTCAAATACTATTTTTAAAGTAAATAAATTGGTAGAAGTATTGATGCTATTCTGATAAAATCTCCTAAATATGGTTAAAAGAAGTCTGAGGGTTAAAGAAAACTAAAGTCTTATGAAAGGAGCTCTGTTGGTGAAATGGTTACGCACTCACCTGCTAACCAAAAGTTGTTTGTTCAAACCCACTCAGTGGCTCTGCAGAAGAAAGATTTGGTAATATGCTTCCATAAAAAGTATAGCTAAGAAACCTCCATGGGGTGGGGGGCACAGTTCTATTCTGTCATATGGGGTAATTTTGAATTGAAAATCAGCTGGATGGCACCCAACAAAAGCAAGCATTATGTCATTCCACCTTATTCATTCTAGAGAATGAGGAAGATTTTAATGAACTTAAATAAACAAAATAAGCAGGAACTTAATGTGAAGTAGAATTAAATTATCTCTCCAATTGTCATTTAGTTGATCCAGAGTACCAGAAGGAAGCAGAACAGAGACATCGAGAATTGGCAGCTAAAGCTGGAGGATTTAATGATTTTGCAACTTTAGCTGTCATCTTTGAACAATGCAGATCAAGGTATGTGAAGTAGACTGTGTAATAAAAAATGTCAGTTTGAAGCACAGTTCCAATATCTACTTACTGTGTGACTTTAGACACTAAGGTTAGTAGGGATGATAACAACCACATAGGATGATTGTCTGTATCAGGTCATTATGATTTGGTAGGCACGTATTAGTTCCGTCATGTTTTTCTGTCTCCAACCTTCCCTGAAAATGTCTTCATAAAATTTTGATTCTATATGGGTAATTTACATGAGAAAGTGTAAATTTTCTTGGATTTTTGTTAAAACTTATATGTAAAAATAAATCAGCTTATAGATTTCTTAGAATTCAATTTGAGTCATCTGCATTAATTTTTGTTTTTCAAATTCCCAAAGTGCTTGCTTAAAAGTTAATTTCAAATATTATTTTAAAAGTAAACAAATTGGTAGAAGTATTGATGTTATTCTGATAAAATTTCCTAAATATGGTTAAAAGAAGTCTGAGGGTTAAAGAAAACTAAAGTCTTAGAAAGGAGCTCTGTTGGTGAAATGGTTAAGCACTCACCTGCTAACCAAAAGTTGGTTGTTCGACAGTCTTATAAAGGAGCTGGCAAGTTAGTTACCTTATGGGTTTCCCGCTTTATAAAGGAGCTCTGGTAGTGTAGTGGTTACAAATTTGGGCTGCAAACTGCAAGGTCAGTAGTTGGAAACTACCAGCTGTTCCGCAGGAGAAAGATGAGGCTTTCTGCTCTGGTAAAGACTTACAGCCTCGGAAACTGTGTACAGGGTCGCTATGAGTCGGAACCGACTCAACGGCACATAGCCACCACCAATAGAAACATGAATATCTGTCTTTCTTTCATTTACAGATGAGTTTTTAAAGATAACAGTATTTTGTTTTTACAGTGGAGCTCCAGCTTCTTGGTGCCAAAAACATTGGATTCATTGGAGGTGCTTATTTTCTGCATTTCGTGTGGAAGCTCAACTTCGAGAACTAATCAGGAAACTCAAGCAGGTGATTGCTGTAATGCTTTTCCTTGTAGTGTTTTGGCACTTGAATTTCATTTGGAATTTTCATTGATGTGTGTTTACTTCCTATCATTTTGCCCTCCCTTTCTACTTACTCCTGTATTTAACCATTTCCTAGACTCCCTGGAAGATTATTGTTGGTAATAAAGGAATTTTACCTGTAAAAATGAGGGTTTTTTATTGAGATCTAATGACATTCAGTACAATGCACATATTTAAAGTTACAGTTTGATTAGTTTTGATATCTGTATATATACATGACACCATCACCATAATCAAAATCATTAATAATTTCCTTTTTCTCGCAAGATGTCCTCCTGCCCCTTTTTGTAATCCCTTCCTCTTGTCTGCCTGACTCATCCTCTTACCCAGGTAGCCACTTACCTGCTTTTTGTCACTAAAGATTAGTTTGCATTTCCTAGTTTTTTGAAAATGTAATCATACAGAATATACTGTTTTGTCTAATTTCTTTCATTTAGTATAATTAATTTTTAGCTTCATTCAGTGTGTGGTGTGCATTAATAGTTCATGTCCTTATATTGCTGAGTATTCCACTGCATGGTGAAGTTGTACACATAGGATTATGATCCATGTTGTTGTTGTTATGTGCCATCGAGTCGGTACTGAATCATAGACAACCTATGCACAACAGAACGAGACACTACCCGATCATGGGCCAACCTCATATTTGTAGCCATGCTTGAGCCCATTGATGCTGGCACTTGGCCAATCCATCTTGTTGGGGGTCTTCCTCTTTTTCTCTCACCCTCCACCTTACCAAACATGATATCCTTCTCCAGTGACTGTTCTCTCCTGACAATATGTCCAAAGTATGAGAGATGAAGTCTGGCCAGTGTGACTTACAGGGAGCATTTTGGTTATACTTTTTCCAACACAGATTGGTTTGTTCTTTTGTCAGTCCATGGTACTTTTTATATTGTCCTCCAACACCATTACTCAAATGCATCCATTCTTCTTTGGGCTTCCTTTTTCACTATACAACTTTCGCATGCATATGAGATTATTGAAAATACCTTGGCTTGGGTCAGATACACCTGAATCCTCGAATTTACATCGTTGCTCTTGAACACTTTAAAGAGGATTTGCGTAATGCAATATGTCATTTGATTTCTTGACTGCTCCTTCCATGAGTGTGGTTGATCCAAGCAAAATAAAGTCTTCGATAACTTCAATCTTTTTTCCATTTGATGTTATTTACTGGTCCAGTGGTGGGGATTTTTATATGTGCAAGTCTGTTTCTAGGCTTTGTGTTCTGCTCCATTGATGTATTTGTCTATCTTGGTGGCCAGTACTCCATTGTTTTGATTGGTATAACTTTACAGCAAAGATTATACAATGGAGACAGTATGTAAGTATTAGGTGAGATTAGAGTAGTACTCTATATAGGGCTAGTTATTCCCCACCACTGAGGCAAGACTCTTCTGAATACTTTCAGAGCCATGTAAATTATGAAGTGTTCCAGTCTTGCTGCTAGAACAGGTACAGGTATCATTCCTAGCACTTTATGAGCGTTGATCATTGCCATCCTTTTTGGTAGGGTTTTTTTTTTTTCCCAATCTTTTTCCTTGCTGTATGTAGTTTCCTCACATGTGTTTATCGGTACTCAGAAAAACACTTGAAGGAGAGCTCCCTACGAATTCTAACCACCCTGGATTCTTAGCTTTGTCTCCAAGAAGTCTCTGGGCTCCACTTGGGTTATTATCCTTCTCTGTGTCTTAGCCCAAAGTCTCTGAAGACTATAAGCTGTAACAGTTGTAGTGCTTATTTCATTTGTTTCCCATCTGTTAGGGATCACTGACCTCTGTTGTTTGATGTACTGTGTTTGGGAAATCATTCTTTATTATATTGTCAGGTTTTTGGTGGTTTCAGGTGGAAGAGTAAGTCTCTTTTTATATACTGGTCTTTATAAATGTATCTTGTTCATAGTAAATTATTCTGTGAGATTTACCCTTGTATATGTATTCTATTTATAGCAAAGTGATTTCCCAAGAGAGACCTTTGAAGGTCCTAAACATGAAGTACTACGAAGATGTCTTTGTGCAGGTTATTTCAAAAATGTAGCTCGAAGGTAAGCAGTATGAGCTTGAGAGATGGATAAAGGAATATACGCTTCTGTTTGACTACTGTATTGAACTATTTAATATTAAAGATTGAAGGTTTGAAGTAAGTTCTCTGTTACAGTGACATTCATTCTAGTGATCCTTTCATAATTGTCATTGTGGGGGCAGGGAGCTGCAGTGGCTCAAAGTGAGATGTTGAACTCAAGTAGTGTAGAAGGGGGAGTCTATGTAGGAAGACAGTCTAGCATGGGCAATCAGTGCCTAAATGAAGTGAGAAGGGTTTTCTTGCAGACGGGTGACCCTGTGTGAAGTATGAAGGCCAAACAGATGGAGTGGCCATCCCTGAGGGAAGAGCAGCTTGCAGTGGAGTATCAGGACTCTTATGTGTAATGTCAGAGCCTGAGTGAGTATGGTGAGAAAAGTATTCTGTAGGGGACAGAGTGACAGTGTTATTGATGGGAAATTGGTTTTCTACAGAAGACTTGATCAAATAAATTTAAGGCTCATGGCAAAGGGAGTTAGAAATATAGCAAGGGAGGAAAGAAGAACGACCCTTATTAGATTGGAATTTCAGAGTATTATTGTCAGTTTAAGGAGCCCTGGTGGCATAGTGGGTTATGCATTGGGCTGCTATAACTGCACAGTCAGCAGTTTGAATCCACCAGGTGTTCTGAGGAAGAAAGATGAGGCTTTCTGCTCCTATAAAGATTTACAGCCTCAGAGACCCACTACAGAGTCACTATGAATCGGAACCGACTGCATAGCATACCACCACCATCCCCCATTCTCAACGGTTTTCAATATATATGGGTAGATGAAAAGATAAAAAATATATTTAGACATTTGTGTGTGTGATATACATTTGTATACCCAAAGCATTAATATACATATATGCCTTAGATCTGAGAGGGACTAGCAGCAATGACACTTTAATAGCAATGATTATAGTTAGTGTCTGTGTTGGAAGAAGTACAGCCAGAGTGCTCTTTGGAGGCCAAGATGGCTAAGCTTTGTCTCTCATACTTTGGACATATTGTCAGGAGGGAACAATCGCTGGAGAAGGATATCATGCTGGGTAAGGTGGAGGGTCAGAGAAAATTTCAGAATTAAAAAAAACTATTTATTTTTAATTCTGAAATTTGACTTAGGCACTGATTCCCCATGCTAGACTGTTAACCTGATATATGTCAGGTTCTGGGCAAATATTGGAGATAAAATAGTGGAGTAATATGTGAGTCCTGACATCATTCTTGATGATACATAAGAGGAGGAGACATACATGTAAACGAGTAATTAAGAATATGTATAAAGCATTATTAAGTAATCTGTTGTGTTCACAAACAAGGAAGTTTATTTTGACAATAGGAAAGTATAGAAGAGGATAAGAACTTTAAGTTATGGACATGAACTTTATTTGAATATTAGTTTCCAGTTCTGGTGTGGCACTGTAGGATTCAAATCCACCAACCATACTTGGAAACCCTACACAGGGTCACTATGAGTTTCAACCAACTCAGTGGCACTTAACAGCAACAACAGTTTCTAGGTTAATGAAGTACCTGGCTTTCAAATCTCATATTGTTTTGAGGCTTAGTTGTGAAAGCATTTAAAAAACTTATAAAGCACCAAAGGGTGTTGTTAATATTACTATTGATTGACCAGAAATGCTTATCCTTAATTGAAATGATGAATTGGTTAAAGTGACAGTAAAATTTAATCCTGTGGTAAAATATAAAACTGCTCGTTGCTGGTTTTAACATACTACTTATTTCAAATTTTACTGTTCTCATTTTTATGATCACTTGGTGGTTCTGTTGTCATAGATCTGTTGGGAGAACGTTTTGCACAATGGATGGTCGTGGAAGCCCAGTACACATTCATCCTTCCTCAGCAGTAAGTACCTTATTTTTTTTCTTAAATGTTTTACTGTGAATTATGGGATAGTTTACATGGGAGAACATTAATTTTATATTCATTCTATCGTATATCGTCTCATTGCCATGGTTACAATCCCCCTCCATTCATCATCAGCTAACCAAAGGGTATACCCTGCAATCCTTCCCCCCGTACCCCCCAGGTCTTCAGCACACAGTCGCTGTCCCTCTCTGGATCTAAAGTCCCCAGCTGCTCCATCGCTCCACGTCATCATCTCTGCCTCCATTTCAGGCATCACTGCTTCTCTGGGTAGGGTCCCACTCTCTGCTCTTCTCCCTTGATGGTCCTAGGGACCTCCGCTCCTAGACTGGAAAGTTAATCACTCCCCTCCTTGCTAGTAAACGTCTACCTTTACATTTCCAACCCTCACAATCAGTCCTGATAACAATTATTCACTATTGTATCACAAGAGACCCGTCTGCATTTCATTGCATCAGCCCCACCTAGACCCTTATTTTTTTAAAGGGAAAGAATTTATAAAGATGTAGAAGCAAGAAATATACAGATATTTCTCGTTTTACTTTTTCCTTTGAGGTTAAATATTGGTTAAGTATGTCTAAAGTACTTAGAATTATTGAGTTATCATCCTTAAATAAGTACTTTTGTGTAGCTTCATGAACAGGAAACCAAACTTGAATGGATCATTTTTCATGAGGTATTAGTTACCACCAAAGTCTACGCAAGAATTGTGTGTCCAATTCGTTATGAATGGGTGAGAGACTTGCTACCCAAGTTGCATGAATTTAATGCACATGATCTGAGCAGTGTGGCCCGACGTGAAGCAAGAGAAGATGCAAGAAGGAGGTGGACAAATAAGGAAAATGTAAAGCAGCTAAAGGGTGAGTGAATCACTAGTTCTAGTGATATAAGTCCAGGATGCATAAATGTTAAATTTTTTATGTAATTATAGTGCTACTGTTACAAGGCTTAGGTTTCTGATTCTCCCCAGAAAGCAAAGGGTTGTCCTAAATTTAACATTTATAGTCATTTTGATTTCCCACTTTTCTGTGCAACGAATTATACTTTCCTTACCCACTCTGTATAAAGACATTATTAATTATAGTATCTATTGAGCTTTTAACATGTGTCAAAAACTTAACTTGCATTTTTCATTGAATTATGTTTATAACAACTCTATAAGGTTAAGTACATATAGATAAGGAAATAGAGACATAACACTGTAAACTATTTGCTGTAAATCCTAGAGTTAACAAGTGGTGCATCTGGAATTTAGATCAAAGGAACCTGACTCTAGAGCCTGTGTTCTTAACCATAGCTAATTCTACATCCCAGTGATGATATATTATTTGTTTTGTTTCTAAAATGTTCTGAATTATTACCTTAGAAGTGCCTTTTTTTGTCCCAAAGGGGCGTTTTCCATGAAACGTTAGGTCCTTAGTTCACTTAGTTGAGAGGCATAGACAGTTGTAGTACTGAACTAGGACAAAAAGCTTAATTGTCAGCTCACATGTACAAAATGATTTTCAATAAAGTGCTTTGAGGCTGACTAACAGAGCAGATTGTATTATATTTATTTAACATCACTGAGAAATAGAATGGCGAAGAATTTTGCTCAAGAATTCATAAAAGGATCTTTAGAAATGTTAGGCACTAAATGTTTCATTGCAGTGTGGTAACACTGTACTAGGTACTTGAATTAGTTAGGGTCAGGTTTTCTAGCTCCCTAGATCTCCATGCTCTTATGTTTTTTAAATTGTAGACTCTACCATTCTTTTATAAATGGCAAAATTTAAGTTCCTTCTTGTTTTTTAACATGAAAAAATCAGTGTCTCTATTAACACTTTTAGAATTAATCACACAAGTAAAATTTTATTAATTTGTAATGGTTTTAGATGGGATATCAAAAGAAGTCTTGAAGAAAATGCAAAGAAGAAATGATGACAAATCCATATCAGATGCCCGTGCTCGCTTCTTAGAGAGAAAACAACAGAGGACCCAGGACCACAGTGACACACTGAAGGAAACAGGCTAAGGAGTGGACCCTCCAAATCAGGAATTAGGAAAAACAGCCAGGAAATGTGCTAATTATTTCAGACAGAACTACCAAGAGAAAATGGTCAGAAGCTGTTACAAGCCTATGAGTTAAATCAAAGCTCATCGGTACTGATGAATGGAATTTTCAAAGAAAAGATTGAGTCACTATAGTCAATAGGCAGTGATATTGAAACCAATGAAAGACAAGACATATTTTCTTCACTTCAATTTTGCTGGCCTTAACTGGTATTAAACACCATCATAAGATATTTTCAGAGGACATTGAATTGCATTTAATTGAAGTGTATTCCATTTGCATTGAAGCATTAAAAATTATTTTCCTTAAATTCTTTAAGGCCTTCTTGTTGGTATCAGAATATTGTTGTATCAGGTGTACGTGATCATTTCCTTCAGAAGGCTGAGCATAAGAGGTTTTTACTCAGCAATACTTAGATGTCTGTTTAATTGCTACAGAGCTTTATAGATATTTAGAGAAAAGAGGTAATTAGTTAATAAAAAAAACTGCCTATGGCAGTCTTCTTTCTTGAATTAACATTAATCCTTAAATTGATTTTTCTGGGATTATACAAATTCCTTTTTATATAAAAGTATATTGTTTAAAACAGTAGCTATAGCCATTAACCAAAGGACAGAAGATATATATATATATGTGTAAGTTCATTTTTAGCTGTACCTGCATACTTTGTATCAGCATCATGTGTGTAGGTGTGATAATGCTTTCAAATAGCCCCTCCACCTGGCCGACTCGCTTTATTTCCTATTGCTTGGGAAGAACAGCCAATATTACTTCACCACTGTTTAAAATAGGAACCTTGAAGCTAATTAGTAGACTACTCAGGCCACATAGCATTTGCCCACTTTTTTTTGTTTAATGCTTTGTTTTCTAGTTATTTGTGTGTGTGTCTCTCTCCCCAACTAGATTATACGCTCCTTGTGGGCAGGGACTGTGTCTTCATCTTTGTTATCTTTCATGGCACCTAGCATAGTGTTTTACACATAGTAGTCTCTCAGTGTTTGTTAAATAAAACTATTAGTATCATTAAAATTCAAAAGGCAGTACTATGTGTGTTTGTAGATATTTTTGTGAAAAAATACGGATCTAAATATTTTAGGTAGCTAACTTTTACATTTATTTTCTTTGGAATCTAAACAGTTCTGTTCAGAGGTAGAAACTTGAAGCCTTTATTGAAAAATCACAAGGACTCAAACTTATACTTTTATTCCAGAAGGGGAGTGGTGATGGATTCTGTGAAACTTTCCAGCATTGTTAATTTGCTCTTTTTTTTTTATCTTTAGTGCTCTCTATGTACTCTCAGCACATTAGTCATTTAGTCTTCTCAATTTCTCTCTAAGGTACAAAACAGTCCATTTCCCTAGGTTTTGTGTGGAAGGGATATAGACTCTTGAAATGAAAGCTCTTAATTCAGTAAACATTAATTAAGCAAACACTCTAAATCTATAAATCTATAAACCAAGTTCAGATTTTGTTAGTTGTCTTAATAATGTCCTTGACAGCATTTTTTTTTTTTTTTCTCACTTAGGATCCAGTCACAGATCTGTCTGATTTTGAAAAGGTTCTCAGTTTTTCTTTGTCTTTAACAACATTTACATTTTTTCATAATACGATGTTCAGTGCCCTCATAGCTACTCTATGCCCAACAAAATGAAGCATTGCCCAGTCCTGCTCTAGCCTCACAGCTGCAGGTTTGTGCCCATTTTTGCCACTGTGTAAATCCCATCTTGTTGCTGATTTCTCCACTTTTCAAAGTATGATGTCCTTCTCCAGGAACAGGTGCCTACTGATAACATGTCCAAAATATGGGAGACAAAGTCTCACCCATCCTCTCTCCGAAGGAGCATTCTGGCTGTACTTCTTCTAAGACAGATTTGTTTATCCATGGTATTCTTTGCCAACATCATAATTTAAATGTATCAGTTCTTCTGTTGTCTTCCTTTTCACATGCATATGAGGTGATTGAAAATACCATGTTAGGGTCAGGGACACCTTAGTCCTCAAAGTGACATCTTTGCTCTTGAACGCTTTAAATAGGTCTTTTGCAGCAAATTTTCCCAGTGCAATACATTGATTTCTTGACGGCTGTTTTCATGACGCTTGATTGTGAATCCAAGCAAAATAAAGTTTTTAACTACTTCGGTCTTTTCTGCATTTATTATGATGTTATTTATTGGTCGAGGATTTTTGTTTACTTTGAAGTTAAATCCATACTTAAGGCTGTATTTGATCTTGATCAGTAAGTATTTTAGGTCTTCTTTGCTTTCAGCAAGCAAGGTTGTTATTATCTGCATTTTGTATGTGGTTCATGAGTCTTCCTCCAGTCCCGGTGCTACATTCTTCTTCACCTAATCCAACTTCTTGGATTATTTGTTCAGCATAGATTGAATAAGTATGATAAAATGATAACAACCCTGACATACACCTTTCCTAATTTTAAACCCTCTGTTGTTGTAAAGTGCCTTCGGGTCGGTTCCAACCATTAGCAACCCTGTATAGGGTTTCCAAAGAGCAACCTTTCAGTTCAAACCCACTTGTAGTCCCATAAATTAACCCACAGCACTAGGACTCCTTTAAGCCCTTTAGTATCCCCTTCTGGTTGAACAGCTGCTTCTTGGTCTATGTACAGGTTTCTCAGAGCACAATTAAGTGTTCTGGAATTCCCGTTCTTCACAATGTTATCCACAGTTTGTTATGGTCTACATAGTCCAGTGCCTTTACTTAGTCAATAAAACACAAGTAAATATCTTTGTTATTTTGTGTTTTCAGCCAACACCCATCTGATGTCAGCAATGATATCCCTCTTTCCATAATGTATTCTGACTCTGGCTTGAATATCTGGCAGATCTCTGTCAATGTACTTTTTTTGTTGTTGTAAATTGACTGATAGTTTACATGGGAGAACATTGGTTTTACATTCATCGTTTCATTGCAATGATTACAGTACTCTCTGTGCATCATCATTCAACAGTATTTGCTTCTATTCCCTCTGTTTTGTTTTTTGGGGTGATGTACATAAAAGCACTCATTAATATACAATCATTAAAATAACCAAAGGGCACATCCTGTAAGCCTTTTTCCTGGCCGCCAGCACACAGCCTTCTCTTTGAGACTAGAGCCCTCAGCTGTCCCATCTCTCCATGCCATCACTTCTGCCTCCATCTCTGGTGTTGCTGCTTCCCACATTCTGCTGGTGGTCTTCTCCCTTGATGGTTCTAGGGTCCTCTATTCCTGTACTTCCCCTCCTTTTTGTTACAAAACTACCTTTACATTTGTGACAGTCACAATTAGTCATGGTAACAATTACTATTGAATCATAAGAATCTTACCTCCATCTTCTTTCACCAGACCCGTTTAGATAAGATGAAAACTATTCAGTGGGAATTCTACCATCCCCTGCATATTCTGAAACTAAACTCAATCTTGAGAATTTGTAAGCCAGTCACTTTGTGCCTTTATAGCCCCATTTTAGGTAGCCAATGTATAAGTTGCCCGTCCTTGTGCACATAGGGAATAAGACTGATCCTTGATGTGAAGACTCCTTCCCTCTCAGTTGGTATTTTGAGCTACTGCATCCATAAGTATAGGTCAAGTTCATCAAATTGTAGCAATTTACAGTCGCTTCCTTTATCAAAATTTTTTTTTATCTTCCTCGATTCAAGTTCTGATCATTAAGCCATCGAAGTTAGGTTAAATGGGTACTATCTGCAAGTTTGGGCATTCTTGTGTGACTCCTCTCACTTCATATCAGCTGGACACTTCAATCTCAGCTCTAGCCCTATGTGGCTATGTCCTTGTCCACGGGCTCGAGAGTCCTCAGGTCTCACCATAGTTGGGACCAACCAGCGCCTTCCTCTTCTCTCTCTCATCACTAGGTCAACAGGAGTTTATGGAACATGGGCAAACTCAGCCCATATCTTCTATCAATGTACTTTTGTAATAATTTTTTAATTATCTCCATCAAACTTTTATTTACATATGATATTAATAAATTTGTTCAATGATGTCTATTCCTTTGGATCATCCTTTCTTTTGAATGGGAACAAATAAAGATATCTAACAGTTGATTGGCCAGGTAGCTGTTTTTCAGATTTCTTCAGATAGATGAGTGAACACTTCCAGTGTTGTATCATTTTTGAAACATCACAATTTGTATCCCATCAATTTCTGGAACTATGTTTTTTTGCCAATATTGCTTGGCATCTTCCTTCGGTACCATTGGTTCTTGGTCATATAGTACCTTGTTGAAATGAGTGAACATCAACCAATTCTTTTTGGTACAGTGACCCTGTATAATACTGCCATCTTCTTTTGATGTTTCCTGTGTATTCATCATCTTTTGATGTTTCCAGTACCATTCAATATTTTGCCCATTAAAGTCTTAAGTACTGCTAGTCGAGGCTTGAATTTTTGCTTCATTTCTTTCAACTTGAGAAATGCTGAGTGTGTTCTGTTTTGGTTTTCTAACTTTGGGTTTTTGTACATTTCATTATAATATTTGTGTCTTCTAGCTGCCCTATTGTCTGCTTTAACTTTTTTACTTCATCATTTCTTACAGTCACTTTCTCCATTCTCAAAAACAAGTTTCAGAGTCTGTTCTGACATCCACTTTGGTCTTGTTTTCTTGTTTTTAAATGACCGTTTGCTTCATATATGATATTCTTGTTGTTACCCCACAACTTTCCTGATCTTTGATCATTAGAGTCTAATGTGTCAATTCAGTTCTTGAGATAGTCTTTAAGTTGGGATTTACTCAGGGCCGTATTTTGGCTCTTGTGAACTTATTTTAATTTTTTCCAGCTTTAGCCTGAACTTACATGTAAGTAACTGATGCTGTGTTCCACTGTTGGCCCCTGGCCATGTTTTGGCTGATGATATTGAACTTCTCCATCGTCTCTTCTGACAGATGTAGTCAGTTTGATTCCTATGCATTCGATTTGGCCAGGGCCATGCATATAGTCACCCTTCATGTTGTTTCAAAAAAGTTATTTACAAATGAATAAGTCAATAGGTTTTGTAAAGTTCTATGATGTGATCTCCAGCATCATGTTTATCACCAAGGCCATATTTTTCAACTACTGATCCTTCTTCTATGTTTCCAGTCACCAGTAATTATCATATATCTTAATTGAATGTTTGATCAATTTCAGATTGGAGAAGTTGGTAGAATTATTCAATTTTATCATCACTGGCTTTAGTGTTGGTGTATAAATTTGAATAATAGTGTTTGTTATTAACTGGTCTTCCTTGTAAGTATATGGATATCATCATATCAAAAGCAGCATTGTACTTCAAGATAGATCTCGAATA